AGAATTAGATTTCAAGCTGGTATTATATCAGAAATAAAAATAAAATTTAACAAAACAATATATATAATAAAAACACAAAATTTAATAAAAACTTCTGCAGATGGATGTATTGCAGTATGTGATGAAACTACATATAACAATATGAATAAAGCAATGTTTAATTTTAATAAGTCATTGTTTAACTTATCTCATAAATCGTTTTATAATGACATTGATATTCAAATTTTAGACGAAGCCAGAACAGTTGTTCCATCTGGCTTATTGTGCGATAGGCGATATCAAAAATGAAATCGAAATCGATATATCAAAAGCATTTACTCATGCGTTTATTACTATATCAGAAATACCAGTATTTAATCAATTTGACATATGGCGAGCGTTTGATGATACAACTGATATTTATGACCTACACGACTTAACGTTATATTATATAGAAAAGAAAACTACTATACTAAAACGGACAGGACGATTGCTATTTAATAAAAAATATTGCTTACTATATGGTGTATTTTTGAAACAACTAGATAACATGACAAGAGAACGAATTAATATTTTATACTTTAAACAACCTTCATTTATTCACAAAGTTGAACATAAAAATATTGTTAATGAACTTTGGAACACAAACATTAGCGAAGACAATGAGGAAGATAAATGTATAAAAAAACTGGTCGCAAATGTTAATTATGGACTTTTAGAAAAGGGGGGAGCAACTGACCAGAAGAGCACAGTGTTTAAAAATCTTAAGGAAGCTTTAAACTATCAGGCAGAGTATGGAGGTAAAATACATAAATTAACACATTTCACGACAGAACAAATTACAGTAGATGAAGAGCAATATACAGCAGAAGAAGAACAGGCGTCATATTATATACTTAATTTAAAGGACACATCACGCTTAAGGAATGGTTTTAGGTATGTAAAAGAGCTACTGCTTCAATACCATAATTTTAGAATGTATCAAGATTATTCTAAATTACATCAAAATGGTATTAATGTATATAGCGTCAAAACAGATGCGTTTACAATAGCGCGATCGGATATAACAAAAGCAAGAGAGCTTTTAATCTTTAATAATGAAATAGGAGGATGGAGAATTTCAAACGACGAATATATTAAATTTCCTACTGTAAATTATGAAATTACACAAAACGAATTAATACAAATACCAATTTATGAAAGTAAAACTATTGATATAGTAGATGAATATGACACAGATAATATTATAGAAATTATTGAACAAAATAATCCTATTATGATTCGTGGAGCACTACCGGGCACAGGAAAATCATATATATGTCAAAAAATGGTTGATAAAAATTATAATGTAATTTTTATTTGTCCTACTAATAAACTATTACAGGCATTCGAAGGCGAAGCAATGACAATAAATAAATTTTTCGGTATTAATTATGGAGATGCTAAATTAGAACCATTTGATTTTACAGATTTTGATGTTATAGTATTTGACGAAGTTTATTTTAGTAATTTAAATATATATTGGAGAATAAAACAATTTGTAGAACAGAATAAGCACAACAAAATTATAATAGCAACAGGAGACACCAAGCAGTTAAAACCAGTTCAAGAGATAACAAATACTCGAGACTATGAAGTATATACTGATAACATTATAGATAACATTTTTGAATATAATATTTTGTTAAAAGAATGTAAGCGACTTAACACACAGGAAGATAAAGATAAACTAAGAAATATTAAAATTGATATTTTTGAAAATAAATTACCTATTATGAAAGTTATTGAAAAATACTTTGAATATACAACTGACATAAGCAAATCAATCAACAACATAGCATTTTTAAATACAACTTGTAAAAATGTATCAAATGAAATTAGAAAATTAGAAAATAGAAAAGATGAATATGAAGTAGGAGAATTTTTAATTTGTAGAGAATATACAACAACTAAAACATCAGTTTTTAATGTAAATTTCAAATATAAAATTGTTCATATTGGAAGCGATGGAATATTTACGTTGAAAAATGTTAAAACTGAAATTCTACAGTCTTTGCCAGTTGATAAAATAAGAAGTAATTTTATATTTGCATATTGCTCGACTTGTCATTCTGCCCAAGGCAGTAGCATTGATGATACCATAACAATTTTTGATTATAACCATTTTTTGGTAAAGAATTATCCAGAATGGATATGGACTGCAATTACAAGGTGTAGAGATTTAAACAAAGTCAAATTTTATAAATATACGAAAGATATTGATGATGTATTTAATCAAAAATGTATTATGAGTTATTTTGAAAGGAAAATATTAAATTACAAAGAACAAGACAGGAAAGCCAAAAGAACAATACCTAAAGAAGGTTATGTAAATGCGCAATGGTTTTTAAATAATACCACAAATCAATGTAATTACTGCGGATGCGGTTTTTCTATGGATATTAAAAACGGTAATATAATGACAAATCTGACAGCGCAACGTAAATCAAACGAGTTGTCACACGAACTGAATAATATTATTCCTTACTGTGTTAGATGCAATTGTAGTTGTAAATGATAATAATTTAAATAATATTTTAATATTTCTTGTAAAAAAAGTATTTAAAGAAATAAAAACTATATATATTATAATAGAAATGGTGGAAACCGAAATCAATAATTATATCAATAAGAAATGCTACAACTGTTGCCACTTCAAAAAGGAAAATATGGAATTGTATAAATTAAATTTACCTAATAAAATATTGAATAATATTATTAATTATTCAATGGATGAAGAAGATGAATGTACAATTTGTCAGGAATGGAGAGATAATCAAGAATTAATCAGATGTCATTTAAATCTGAAAAGAAGACATAATAGAAATGTTGAAGACGACATTTTGATATTTTTAACTGTGTATGAAATACCGCCTTATGATTATGTTAAACAGTTTCTTAAAATCCCTAAGAAAAAATATGGTATGATTGATGATATATTAAGGATGTTGTGTTATAGTCAAGAGAAGGGACAAGATGTTAAAGAAAATATCAAATTATTTATTGAAAGTAAAAATTTTAATGTTCAAAATACATTGAGAGATATTAATATTATTTTTAAAATGATGTATGAAAGAAGTAAGACAAATCAATTAAATTATTATCCTGTACTGAAATTATAATCATAATATAATAATAACATGTAAAATATTATATGTTATACTTATATTTCAATATTTAATTTTATTTCTTGGAAAAAAGTATTTAAAGAAATAAAAGCTATATATTATTATATAGTGTGTAATGGCGGAAACCGAAATCAATAATTATATCAATAAGAAATGCTATGACTGTTGCCACTTCAAAGAGGAAAATATGGAATTATATAAATTAAATTTACCTAATGGAATAGTTAATAATATTGTTGATTATTCTTTGGGTAAAGAAAATATATGCAGAACATGTAAAAAATGGAGATATTACCAAGACGCAATCGAATATAATTTAGATATTAAAAGGTTTAATGAAAGAAATGTTGAAGATGACATTTTGATATTTTTAACTGTGTATGAAATACCGCCTTATGATTATGTTAAAGCATTTCTTAAAATCAGTAAGAAAAAGTATGAAATTATTGACTACATATTATGGGCATTGATTTATCATAAAATGGAAGGGGTTGATGTAAAAAAAATCATTAAATTATTTATTGAAAGTGAAAAGTTTAATGTTAAAAATACAGTGAGAGATATTAATAGTATTATTAAAATGATGTATGAAAGAGGAAAGATATATCAATTAAATAGTTATCCTGAATTTAGATTATAACCATACTATGATTATAACATTTATACCCTTATATGTTATAATTATAATGTAAGTATAGCGTTTTATATATTGAAGATAAAATCCTACAAGGTGGGCCATGCGCAACTCCGGAATATCAAAATTTCGAAAAATGAAAAATTAATTATTTGTCTTCTCATTGAATTATTGAAAATGTTGTTTCTTATTGAATAATTCTTCTTAAGATGCTATATATATTTATCTCTTTTGAAAAAAATATATTTTCTAAAATATTTTGGAAAATATATGTTTTTGAAAATGACAATGTTTAGGTGTATTGAATTTTTCAAAAAATAATTCAATTTTTGTTTTGGTATGCAGTACTAAAAAAATATTTATCAAAATGTGTTTAGACTGTTTCAAAAAATGTTTTAAAATGGCTGTTTTGAGGCGCTTATTCAAAAAATGCAAAAAATCCTAGGGTGGACCCTAGACTTTTGAGTCCGAAAAAAGTTGCGCATGGCCTGACCTAACTCACACAACACCTCCCCATGCTTTCTGGTTTTCCAATTTTTAACAAAAACAAATGCAAAGCGAAAAAGAAAAAAACGGGGACAGATCTCTGATCGAAAGAACGATGCTGGGGGACAGAATGATGGGTTGGGGAAAGAAGGGAAATAATGATGGTTGCGGGGATGGAACGATGGTTGTAGGGAAAGAACAATGTCCCTATGGCCTCTGCGGCGGCATGACTTTGGCTGGTCAGGGGAAGGGTTGTCTAGTCTATTGCCCATACCCCGAGCCCGCGGGGGACAATTCTGCGTAGCTCGGTGCTCGCTGCAGGAAAAAAGAGCCGGCTGGAAAGCCCGATCTTTGAACGGAATGCGCGTGTGACGAAAGAATGGGGAATCAAATTAGAAACTTGGTTTCGGCATGGGGCCGCCTTGCGGCCAGCTTTTGCTCAGCCCAGTCCCTAGCTCTGAGCTCGTCGTACTCCGTTCAGCTCATTCCAGCCACCTCGTTGGCCTGCCCGCGTCGCTCGAGTTCAAGTTCCTGGCAATCACTTTGCGCAGCAGCCCACTAGCCTGCCCAGCCCAGCCCCACGTCCAAAAATGAGGGACCCTTCGAAGGAGCCAGCCACGCAAAAAGTGACACCAAATTCCCAAAACCAGCTTTGTTTTGGTTAAATCCCTGCGCAGCACAACGCAGCTTCTTGGATGCTCTGAAAAGAAACCAGCTCCATCCCCCCAGGGCGCTGTAGTGGGGGATCGCCAGCATCACCGTTCACAATGTGCACAGGCCTGGCGTGGGAAAGCAACGCGCTAACTTCAGCATGAGAAATACGTCAGCCATGGGATCCCTTCAAAAGCTAAAAAAACAATAGGCATGCACTCGGCACATTTCCACATGTTCTTCGGCTGCGTCACACGTCAAGCTACACCAGACGGCTGGGGAGTTTGAGGGGCAACAAATCCTGGCTCACAATGGCCTCGCCAAGACCCGCAGACCCCCAGCTGCAACCTATTCAGGGATCCTGCTGGGACTTGATTGTCTCATCTCCACAACCCCCCTGCTCAAATGAAAATGCTGCATAGAGCCAAAGCAGCCCATGCTCCCCAAGATGGCTTCCACCCACGGAGTTTGTTGGGTATAGCACGTGTACAGGGTATATGCCGTTTTCCCAGGGTGGTTCGGGGCTGGGAAAATCATCTCGGAAACTCGTCCTTCCCGCAAGACACGGCTGGGTGCACCCGCAAGCAGCTCCCTCCTCAGGCGTGCCTAGGCATCGGCACCCTATGGGCGGGGCTCGCTTCAAGCAAAGACCAGAGATCTGTTCAAACCAGAGTTGGGCCACCCGCCTTGTTGTTCGAACTATGCAAGAACAACCTCTTTTTGGTTTGTGAAAACGGACTAGGGCCTGAGTGGTTAAAGCTGATTTTGTCCAACCCTGCTTGACCTTTTCTTCTAAGACGGACTATGAACCAAAAAAGGGATCATGCTGGGGGTCCCTGCACGACAGATTTGGCTCGGGACCATGTCCAATAAAAACCAATAAACCTCTACAGGGCCCCGTTCAAGTCCCTCAATCATGCTTTTCTGCGTAGAGTCCCCCCTTCATGGAATCGTACGATCATGCAAGCCCAAAGGTGTGTTTCTAGCTGGGACACCTACATTGACACGGGGAAAGCTAAAGCGAGATTCTCAAACTGGCGGCAGCTCAACTTGACATGAGTGAATAAGTGCAATGAGTGGATCAAATTAGCCCAACGGAATCGCAACACATCTAACAAATACAGCCTCAACCGACGCATCAAAACACTTCACCAAAAATGTCCATCGCCAGAAAAAAGGACGACTTCCAAAAATAGCTCGCCCCAATAAAATCGACCAAACCACGGGACGACTTTAACAGCTGCCCGTACCCGTACTTGGGCGGTTCTGACGCACCTGAAAGGATATTGAGGTGGATGGAAAAATATATTTCAGCACTGGAGAATATTGCTCGCTCATGCACCCGGAATATTCTTTGCTAGGTTTTTGGCCGTGTCAAATACAGTTGCCTGCAAGCTTGCCTCAGGGACCACCCGACACTATGAAACGAAACAGCGCTTGGCCTGGGAGGTCATTTATTTGAGGCGGCAGTCCAATTCGTGTTCAAAGGTCGAAGGAAGCTACAAACGTCAGTAGCTTAGCACCTTTTTGCTGAACACAAAACAGCCAGGGAAACATTTCTTTCAACCAGAAAAAATTGCATCATATCGAAACATATCCAACACGAGCAAGAGCCAAACTTTGTGTGGCAGATTGGCATGATTCTGTTGACATACAATCGCGAGCGTGAAGAACGACTTGCATAAAATCCCAGTTGATAAGCATCCTATGAATCCAGTCGGCAGGTTGCAAATGGCTCTGTCCAGCGTGCCAAGCCAGTAGGGTTCCTCAATCTACGTATTGGAGTGGTTTCATCCGTTGGTCCAACAAAACCAAGGGACCAACGCGCAAGGATTCCTGGACGGCCCTGGGAGCCAGGCACACAGAGCCATTCAGCACCCGGAAGGTCCGCTCGTAGGCGTGCACGTGTGCCGACAGGTACAAGTCCACCCCGTACCTGGGGTCCCGAAGCTTCTGCTGCAGGGTTAGCTCTCGGAAAATCTGGGCTCGGCGATGGGGAAAACGCCACAGAAACTGATTTTTGTTTTCTGGGGCTCGCAGTGTGTGGGGAAACAACTGGAACAAAGGCCCAGTGTGCTTCGAGGCGTTTCTCAACAACCAGTGGACCTTTTGCAGCTTCAGGGAGCATCTGGCTTCCAAGAAACACTGGGGGGCGCTACTCTTGCTTCGGGCAAATTACTGTCACTCTTGTATCATGCACGAACCTAAAAGAAGGAATTCCAAGTAAGATCCATGCGAGTCAGGAAGATTGTGGGCACGTCACAAAGAGTGGCTCCAGCACAGAGCGCAAGAGGGCTGCCTGCGGATGCAATAAGGCATGAGACATCATCAGACCTTGGGGTTGCATCCCCTTTGCGGGAAACTCGGGCTGTCCCCTGTCATTCTCGTCTGCATGTTGTTCTGGGTTGCGGACAGGATTTATTGAGGACATGCAAAACTGGGTTGTGTCCCCTTGGTGTCCTGGTGCTTGTGGGAAACGGGGAAACGGAGCCGGGGGGCCGGGGGGGCGGGGGGGTTGTCCCGTATGTCTAGACCAAAAGATTTGTCATTTGCTGGGCAGAAGCACTGCCACCGAATGCTCCCGCAGGTCTTCTGTGGGGTGCGCAGTCAATTCACTCAAACCAATGGTTAGATGGTCCGGGGTGTTGCTGAGTGGCTAGTTGCCTCCTTTTCACCCCCCCCTCAAACCGTTGTAGCTCGGGTTGCTCGCCATGTAGCTAAATCCCAGGCCATCCAAGTACGCATATCCCTTATCTCTCCAGCCTCTGAGCTGCAGGTAGGCCGAACCATGGAGCAATAGAGCGGCCTTCGCAACAAGGGATGGCCTATTTAACAGCCAAGGTTTTCGAAATACCCATCCTTACCTTCCACCTGCTCATGTCATCAAATAAATACTAATCATGAATCATGTAGCGCTTCCCTAAGCAAAACACACACACACACACCGATGAGCCTGACACACTGAAGAGATGTCTGCCTTACTAGAAGGCATGACTGCGCATGACCACAAGAAACACATTGACGTCCAAGTGTACTTAAAAGAAAGAGAGAGTGGCACTGGACATTGGACAAACCCCACAATCAGCAGGTAAGCTTTTCGGATCGTGAGCTGAGTGGATTCTAGGGTTCGTTGAGTTCTGGCCATGGCACCTCTGCTTCCCACTACTGGGTGCCGCCCATCTCATGAAACTCCCAATCCGTGTGCCACTAGGTCCAACACGCAATGATCGGATAAATCGGATCATGCTGCAGCCTTTTTGGGTTTCATGGGATCGTGAGTGGGAGGATTTTTTTATTTGGGAACGGATGAACTTGGTTCCTGTTTAATTAGGTCCGCGGGTGTCCCCTTGTCAGGATTCACTCTTGACACCCCCCCGTGATAGGACGACTTAAGTCAAATCCGGGGTTCCCATTTCCTCTGAACGAGCGCAAACAACAAGCCAGTCCTGTGGCCAGCAACGATGAGCCACGGCCGCGCTGCGCGCTCCTGAGACTTAACCCAACGAACACCCGAGCGCCAGATGTTTTTTTCTTTTTCGGATCCCGTACCCGGCGGCGCAAGACAAAGAGCCAGGCCTCTTGGAGAATCATAGCAGTGTGTCAGAGGAAGCTAGTCATGTTGTGAAATGTTGATCCCGCATTCATCAATGTGAAGGATCTCCTCTCAAATGGAACATCCCTCTTGTTCATCAACCAGGGGTGTAATTAGGTTCCCATTCTATACAGGGTGCTTGATAGGAACAGTACAACGGCAAATCAATGCCCATATTCCAACGCGAACGCCCATCCCTGTTGAATCTCCAGTACGGTCATGCTGCCACAAACTGCGCTGAATCATTTGCAGCTCACTCCAATCATCTCTTCGACATGCACAGGGGCTGACCGTAAACAACACACTACACACTTGCCCGAAGGATCTAGACATAAAAAGTTGAACATTTGGGGACCTCGCAGAAAAACAGAGCAACACTGCAAAACCAAATAATTGTCATATTACCCGCATTGACGAAGACTCTCTTAGACCAGACCGCAAAAAGCCACGCCGGCGGTGGTGAGAATGACCTAGGTCTCGCCCCTAGCTAAACATTTGGTTTTCATGCCTTAATGTAGCTAGGGCGCCTCTCAGCTTGGAACCCAAGCTAAAAAATGGTGGTGGGGGGGGATGGTGAAACTTCCCAAAGGACCGAACTGCTCAAACAAGAACAAAAGGAAGCCGCGGATCAAGGGCCAACTGCGTTTTGATGCGTTCTGACAAGCCTTTTGAGGGCTTGTCAGCTTCTGCTCCTTTCCGCAAGCCACCGTAAAGCATGTGGCTACTGCAAACAACCTTGGGAAGACTAGGGCATTTTGTTGTTGATTTTTGATTGAGTCCCTCTCTCTCTCTCTCGAAAGTTGACCATAGACAAATCTGGATATGAAACAAACTGACATGGGTACGTACGGTGTTAGTCTATATGTGGGGTCTTTGGTGGACATTACTAACCTTGAAATGGTATGTCCACCAGCCAAAACAACAAACAATTAACTATAACCTGGGCTGCCCTCAGATCCCCCGCTAAAAGTTTAACTTTTAGTGAGCTAAGGAACCGGATGGCTGGGAGCCACCAAGTAACTGCGGGACTTTGGTGCAGGGAGGGTGCTAAGCAGATCTGCGGCTTCCAGCCTCTTCGGCCGTCTTCAGCTCTTCTTCCAGCCACGCCAGCTGTCGGGAGGCCTAGGACTGCCAAGCCGTGGGTCTATGTTTCTAAGGCTATCCAGTTGGGTTGGTTCAGAGGGGAACCGAAGAGAAACCGTCTGTTTTGTGGGTTTGCCCATCTTGAAATAAAAAAACCTACGCTGAAAGTGGTTGGTGGTGCTTGGCCTTGGAAGGGCCTGGTGCTTTAAAGGTTGGTTGCGATAGGTGCCAAGAGGTTCCGAAACCTGCGACGGAAACCGGCAAATCCGCGTGCAGAAGGGTCCAAGCCCAGTCTCCCAGCGATGCTAGAAGCTACAAATTTCAGCTGGTCTCAACAATTCGGCCCTTGGGATGGATTCGCCCAGCCAAAGTTGCTGGCCTTTTTTGGACCAACTCTCGCAAGAGCGGATCAACACATAGGATATAAGATGCCTTTAACATTGAGGACAAACAATCGCTGGTGCCTCTTTGACTATCTGCAGAACAACTATCTGCAGAACAACTGCAAGAACACTGGAAGAATACCTCTCTCGACACATCTGATACCTGAATGAATACCACACCCGCTTGTCGTAAACCTAAACAAGTAGCCCCTTCTTTGGCTTGAAGCCAAAGCATGGTATCTCCCTTAAACAGATCCCATACTCCTAAATGGGTGTGGCTCACAATGTTGGCCCAAAATGGAACCCTGGCAAAAGTGCCATAAAACCTGCGTTCCGCTCTTAACTTTTATCCACACCCAAGCATGGGAAGCGTTTTCCGACAGGGGTATGCGTCAACCGACGGAACTCCTATCAGGCTTCGTAAAGTGGCTTCCACAGCCTCCGGATATAGGAGGGAACGGGGTGTATACCCCGTGCCGATACAAAGGTTGTATGTCCCATCAAACAACAGGGTCCCGGAATAAAACCAGCGGGAAGTCATGTCTTTTCAACCAAACCGTCCCTTGGTTGCTTTCTGCTCCCCTGCTAAAAGCTTAACTTTTAGTGGTTTAATGGAAAACCCATTAGTTGGCAAAAAGTTGTCCTAACATCCCTTGGCAAAATGCACCAAACCGCCCTAAAAAGGAACCCCTCTGCATCTTAGCTTCCTCTCGGATTCTTTTAGGCAAAGCCACGGCCGAGGCAGCGGCGGCCGCTTGCCTCGGTGGGTGAAACCCGCCAAGGGGTCCAGCCACGGGTTCCAACCACCCCATGGGAGATGGGTCTTCTGGCAAAGGAAAAAAGGACAACGAACAAGAACCAAACCAACTCCCTACTCTTCTGATTTGGTCATCTGTTTTTTGGCTCGGAGCAACCCCACATTGCAGACAGCGCCGCCCTCTCATCGAGTTTGGGGCTACACCCCTCCAGACCTATGTCCGAGCCGCTGGAAATGGCCCAAATCCACCAGCGCGTCAGTCCAAAGCCTCACGTACGCATCAAGGATGGGTCATGGCGCATGTCATGGCAAATGTCTCAAAGCAGGACATATCTCACTCAAGACACACCGTGAAAACTGCAGTATACTGCAGTCTTGAGCTCAGACACCGCATTGTCCAAACTCTGAGTGCGCGACATGACTACTTTGGCATGCCCTGCTTTGAACGAGTACCACCTGCGACAGGCGTTCTCGAGGGAAGTGTAAGTTCCGCACACACGCTGCTGCACACTACAGTAGTTCAGGTTAAGCGCACGCCGGATGTTGTCAAAATAACGCCAAGAGCAAAGTGAACAACATTTTGGAGAGGCCCAACCAGATTTGACACATGGGTATGAGTCAAAATAAAATCACCAGGGGACCGCATGTGTTCGTCTTTGGTTCCATTTACCAGGGTTCCATTTTGGGTACGCATTTTTGACCCACAGCCACATGTATCAAACGTCGAAGCCCTTTGGGGTCCATGTTCAAAGGCTCAGTGTCTGCTGCAGCACAACCCGGAGACGCTGCCGAGGCGCGGATCGCTGCTGGCTGACATCTGGAAAAGACGCCTCGGTGTTGAACAGTCTGGCTGCCGCCCGATTGGTGCACGCTTCATGTCGGCCCTGCCAAGAGCTAGCGAGGGAGAGAGAAAGAATGCGAAGAGAACGGCTGAGAAGACAAAGAATGAGAAGAGACATGAGAAAAAGAGAGAGAGAGAGGTAGAGAGAGGGAAGCAAAGAAACAGGAACCAAACAAAGAACACAAGAGGAACAAATGAAGAAGGAAAGAAAAGATCGTGTGCCCTTGCCTTTTGTCATCCTAGAATGGCTGGGCCGCTCGCTTGTAGATGCCAAGATCATCCCGGTCCTCAGGCGAGCGAAGGGTAGGTCCCAACGAACTATTGTCTTGTACCCAGGACTACTTCTGAGGGCTCCAAACCATCCCTCGCCGAAGAGTTCGCAAAAAATATATCGTCGAGCCGGGAACCAGAAATTTCCCCGATTCCTTTCCCGGGGGTTGAGCGGGCCTAAGAAATTGAGCCGCGGCACTGTGGTCTCTTTGCAATTGAACAGGACTCAGCGGACTTGTTGGTAAGATGATTCTTAGCAATGCAATGGGAATGTGCAGGACCAAGGGGAAACACAACTGTTGCTTTCCCGGGTAGATCCCCAGCATTGAAAGGGCTTGTGACCAACTCTTGCGAGTTTGAGGTTGCACAAAAGACGGCTGTTGAGGCGCCATGTTTGCCGCCTAAACATGGCTGGCAAGAAAGCGAATCAAATGCTAACGCTAAACCGCCAGCTCAATACCAAGATGGTCAGGGAAGGACGCAAACATGGCGACGGATTGTTTGCAACTCGCCAGGCACGGCCCATGTACATGAGGGCTTGAACAAAAAAGAAGTCTAGCGGATGGCCAGGCATGTTGTAGTCAGCCAAGCAGGGGAGACATGCAAAAACAGGAATCACTGCCTCTACATTTTGGATCCACTGACTAAAGACATACGGACGACCTACCTGAGGCATCACTGTTTGGCTGGCACCACCGATGATCGCAAATAATTCTCGCCGCACGCATCCATGCAAGCCGGGCCATCTCCCTTGTGCGTGTGTGTGTGTGTGTGTGTGTGTGTGTGTGTGTGTGTGTGTGTCTGCACATGGGGAGTGTGACCCAGCTTGGGACCCCTCTGAGCGGCAACAGTTTAACATCAGCCTCCTTGCCAGACCGAGCAGGGGGTCCAACTCAAAAGAAAGCTAACGTAGGAGGATGCAGCTGAAAGAGTTCAGCCCCCAACATGGTCAACAGTGGGTTGCTTCTCAAAGAGTATACAAAGAGCTAGCTGTGGGTCAAAAACAGGTACACAAATGGAACCCAGGGACTAAAATCTGCGGTCCATATCCTGGTTTGATTTTGACCCATACCCAACTTGCCATTTTGTGGAGTCCCCAATGGCACTCGACATCGGGCCCCTGGCCCCAGGCAGCGTCATGTACGGCACCTGGGAGGCCAGCGGCTGAAGCCTCGGCTGGCAGAGGTTGCATCGCGATTTGGTGATTTCGAGTTTGAACAATCCCTACTTAAGTTAAAAAAAAAAAAAACAACAAATGTACATATATATATATACATATATATATATATATAAACAATACATATATATATATATATATGGAGGGTGGGCAGGGTTCAGGCCTAGGCTTGGGCAGGAGCCACGGAACGGAAACCTCCGGTTCCGCACATGGCCATGGGTCAAAATCCAAATCGTACCCCCAGTGAACATCCCAATCCCAACTAAAATAGACTAACATGGGTGGTGCACATACCCCCAAAATCGTACCATTGGTTTTGACCCACAGCCACTCACATATGGGTATGGGTCAAACATAGGGAAACCCCAAAATGGCTTGCCCTGGTAAATGGAATAGACTAAAACCTGCAGTCCGCTGGTGGTGATTTTTTTTGACCCATACCCATGGAGGGTCGGTTTGTGCCAACTGCCGCTTGGTTTGGTGATTTCGGGCTCAGAAAAGGGGCTGGAACATTGGGTCAACATCCTGAACTCTGCATCCAGGGCTTTCGAGAAACGGAAGGCATGCGGTTGCCCGCGCGTTGCTCTGTCGCGAGTCTGTTGGTTCACGTTGGGATGTGTTTTTTTTGCAATTGAGGCCCTATGGAGCAGTCAAATTATGTCACGTCAACAAGACACAACAAGTCCTTAAGCCTCAAGCGCAACAGCAAGAAGGACATTGTGAACGAGCAGTTGCATCACCAAAATATGCTGTTGGCCATGCAGTTTGGGCAAATTTAGGGAACGATTCTGCAGCGTCGATGATCAAACATCTCTAAATAGTTCGCTTTCGGCCAGCCCCTATTCTCTGCTCAAGCGAGATGTTCTATTCATCCCATGGCAATAAAGCAGCCTTGGGTGCAACACATTCTTGGGTTGACCAAAAACCTGCGCAATTTACTATCATTCGCCAAGTCTGAAATGAGGGAACCTCAAGACCCTTGATGGGTGGAACCGCTCGTTTGACGCTCCAATCATTTCACCCAGGCCAGTCGAGCGCAGAACCAAAGCATCCATGAAAAAACTCCTCTGGAGGGCATGACTGCCGCCCGTGAGCTTGCTCAGCTGTATCTCTGGGGCAAAGGACACTCTTGGCCTTGACCTGGGAATCCTCCTAGTTGTGGCCATATCGACCAAACGGACAGCGGATGCCCTAAATCTTGTACGGCGGCTGGACGTGGCTCACTTGCAATGATTAGAAATTTCTAGCAGCCAAGCGACCCTCGACAAAGTTCCCATCGGATCCCGTTTTTTGTGGTTGATCCCTTTTAGTGAGTCCCGAACTCCACCAGCGCCTTTGCCGAATTCGGGGCCCGGCATCTCCAGAAAGCGCAAGGCCCTTGCGCCCGCCTCTCGAAGCAAAATGCGCATGGCTTGGAATGGGAAACGACGTGAAAGCCAGTTCCTTGGAGGGACCCCTCGTTTTGACACATTCCGAACATTTGGGAGAGGAAATCTCAGAGTTCTCATTCCTCTCTGGGCCCATTGTTAAGTTATTGGATTTACGAGCTGCGCTCGCACAGGGAAATGAAACTCATCATGTCAAAGTAATATACCCCAAACTGCAATGACGCAATGATCCCATGGCTACGTCTTCAGTGGGCCGAGTCTATGGGATCTCTTGGAACATGGCAAATACACACATTTGACGCCAAATGTGAAGCCATGCCCTGCGCGACAACCCGCCTTGGCCAGACTTAGACCAATGCAACAGCCCCGCGCAAAAATCCTGTGCTTAGGGATTTTGGCGCGGAAAAATGTATGGGAGAGCGTGCCTCGCCTATCCTTTCCATCAAACACACAGTTCAATGCAAATGAATTATGTACTTGTTTTAGAGGGACCGCTTCATGATGATAAATCCACCCAGGCATTCGTAGCCTTTGCTTCTCAATATTTCACATGACCCAACCTATCTTCCACCAGCCGCTTCTGCGAGCATGTGTGTGTGCCATACCTGCGCTGCAAACTTTCGCGTGCTGCGTGTGCTCTACTTTCGCGGCCACGGTTTCCATGCATTAAGGCCTCGTTAGCTAGAAAGGGTAAGGAGTCAATAGTTGGACAAGAGTTTGTGACAAGAGCTTTTGACTAACCCTGTCGGGCAACTGGACCTTGAAACAATTGCAGACCTGTGCTGCAAAGTAATGCAAGTCGTGGCAAGTGAGGAAACAACAAGCTTTCTTGGCCGCAAACCAAAGTAAAGCCTCTAATTGCACAAACTGGGCCTGCTTTGCGAACTTTCCGCAAACCTTTCGCATCTTAGAAGGATTTCCTTTGACATGTCTGTTTCTTTTGTTTTTTTTTTTTTGGGGGGGGGGGCTGGGTGTGTGTGTGTGTGTGTGTGTGTATGACCTGCTTGTCCTCATTGAGCGACAAAGCATCAATAATGCAAGCAGAGTGTCCACCAAACCCAAGCCCCCAGGCCGGTGCACTTGCCAGGGTTCCATTTAAAATACCAATTGACCCACAGCCACAGAACACTCGACCCTATCCATGCCTCAGAGGAGAGGTTGTTCCCCAGGTCCCCCAGGTGGATGGCCGCATCAAACGCCGGCCTTTCCGTGGTGTTCAGTATCCTGCGCGAGCGGATCGGTGGCCGATGATGCCGATGCCTTGTACCCTGTCAAAGGCCAGCTGCCGCGGTTTTTCTGTTTATGGTGTGTCCCATGGATTCCCGAGAGGTGCACGACGTAGTTGCTACATGCGGTTGTCTCCAAATGGGGAGTCCTCAAAACCTGTAGACGTATCCCAAACTGAGTATCAAGTACAAAACAAGACACAAGCACATTGCCTGTGACTGCTGAAAGCCTTTTGCACTCCATGAAGCAACGAGAGAGTGAGAGAGAGAGAAGAAAAAAAGAGCAAAGAACGGAGCCCGCTGGTCAGATTGGTCAGGCGCTTTCGCTCACATGATATGGCCGAAGACCTGAAGCCAAAGATACAAAAAAAACGACGCCAGTCTTCCATGTCAGTCGCGCCAAAGGTGCAACCCGCCGACTCGGCCGTGTCCGTCCTGCCCAAGACATCATCCCCGATGTTGCCAACTCCCAGGTCCCCGAGCAATGCTAGCCGTGTGCGGCCTGCGAGGCGTCGCTTGGGGAGCTAAGAAGCAAACGGGAAGTCGGATGCTGAAAAGGGAAAGTTCGGGTGGTTCCTGAACAGGGCTTTGGGAAATGGAATCCACTTCTGTGATACAACAGAAGGCCTTTCCAAAGACTAACCCCTCCATGTACAGGGGCAGATTCCAAAAGTATCCCAGTGAGAATAAACCCCAGTGATCCCACAACCCTGTTCCATTTGAATGGCTCTCTTCAGAACAGATTGTGGGCCCTTGGGCCGGGATCGAGGTCTCGGGGATCGCAGCCGGACTACCCGGCTAGAATCAACCTAGGAACCGGCTTCTGACAACCTGCTGATTGGGAACTCCCTGGGAACCATCCCTAAACCAGACCTTTTTCTGGCACGAGTACCAGTAGCAAGCAAGACCTCCCCTTCGGGCCACCTTTAGAGGCGGCACACAGCAACACATCAGCATTTCAAACAGTAGGATGGCAACTCCTCGTTTAGATGTCTGTAAGAATTATGGGAACGGCTCTTTCTGCTCAAAAGATATTTGCATGTTAATGACATGAGCCACAGTCGATACTCACTGTGTTCCCAACTGACATTGGATTTAGTGAGTATGCCCAGTAAGCCCCCTTTCCAAATGGCATCTTAGTGAGTGTGCCCCGCGTCATCTCCTTTACTACGATAGGCGACAGCAAAGACGGATCGGTACTCACATCAGTTTACATCAGCCACAGCAATGTAGGCACACTGATGAAGCATCGAGTCCATTGCCTGCTCCGCCAGACCTCAGATGGAACATTTTTCATTTTGACCTTGTGCAGCCAGTGACACCCATCTTCCCAGAGCGACCTGGAACCTGAATAAGGGCTCTTGGTATTGATACAGGGACGCTCCGGTTTTGCCGAGAGAGAAATCTGCGCCTTGGGAGTTGGGAACAACTTGGGCTGCGGCGCGTTGCTGCAGTTCGGCAAGCGCACGCGCCTTGCTCTGCTACCGACCTGGTAGGTCGTGTCCTGAGCCGATCCCAGCGTCCATGACGTTGACCAGGGCTTGGTTTAAGCTCTCAAAAGAACCATGGCTGCCCCCTTTTGGGGCAAAGCAGGTGAAATCCTTCTTTCGGGGCCATTCAGGTCGACCCAATTCTTCCACCAACCAAGGACAAAATGCAACCTGGCGAGGAACTAATATAGGAGCTAATAATGGCCAAAGCCCCTTACGATCGTATTGTCAAGATCCCAGGTGCTTTGTCCGGGCTTTGTCAAATGAAGTAGAATGATGCATGCCAGAAATTACTCAAGCAACGATTGCCCTAGCATACAAGTTGCATCCTGCCATGCGAGGCAGGATCACAGTGACTGGCTGATCTATAGATCCA